CCTTAAATCTGACAATAAACTTAACAGGAAAAAACAGTTTAGCCAAATATAGTTTATATCGTCTGGTCTGTTTTCGTTTGGCTTTACCGGGACGTCCAGCTCAACTCAGTCCTCGAGATGCCCTCCTTCGGTTCCAGTGTTAACTTAGAGTTAACTGAAGATCAGGGCAAATACTCCGTAGTCTTCTGGTGAGATCGACCAATGAACCTTTTATTTAACAAACATGTAAACGAAAGGAAAGCAAACTCACCAATGATGCATCATAAAATGTTGTAGATTATTTGAGGAAAAGTATATATATATTGGTGAGTTTGCTTTCCTTTCGTTTACATGTTTGTTAAATAAAAGGTTCATAGGTCGATCTCACCAGAAGACTACGGAGTATTTGCCCTGATCTTCAGTTAACTCTAAGTCAACACTGGAACCGAAGGAGGGCATCTCGAGGACTGAGTTGAGCTGGACGTCCCGGTAAAGCCAAACGAAAGCAGACCAGACGATATAAACTATATTTGGCTAAACTGTTTTTTCCTGTTAAGTTTATTGTCAGATTTAAGGATTCATTTTTTTGAGTAGAATTTCGAGGCTTTAGCCTGAAGGATTTAGGCGAAGCCAGACACGCACCAATCCAGCCCAGACGTTAAGCGTAGTCACTAAGACAAAGTTCAAAAAATCGCTCTCCCGACAAGTGCTGCTACCCTACCATTCCCTTGCACCTGACTATAGCATCCAGAAAATCACTGCTGTCAACCTTTTGGCTGACCAGAGTTTTTAGCACTGGTGAAGCATGAATCTTCCTGTTGCCCTCCTATACGTGCCATCTAATTCCTTTTCGTACGTCTCTTAGGTCTTCATTTCTTTTGCCTTATCAGTTTGCCATTTCACCTAGCCTCCCAGTTGAACCGATGCGAAATGCACATGTGCATTTAAGGCCTACAAGCCTCGTTGTACGGGCGTCGGCTATCGCCCGTCTACCACATTCAACCTGTACTGCACCATCCCACCAGGATGGTGCGAAATAGACTGGGCACATTATTTACTGCTTTTGTGCAAATGTCTGCGCCTGCAGCATGAAACCACTGACCATTTTTGCTTCACACAGGCCTTTTAGCCGGACTTGGTCACTACTTGACGACCTCCGCGACCGCCTCAACCTCTACTGGTCTTCTGCGGTGATGCCCATCTGGCCAGCCAATAGACTGTCTGATCCCAGCTAGCATGAGTCTCGCCACCTCAGCGGCCGCTCTGTCGACGCAAAATAGTCCTCTTCCTTCGCGAGGTGTGTCCTCTGCCCTCTTTCTCTCGGCTGGTCCCATGCCGCCACCACAACCGCCACAGTCTCTTCGGTTGTCCGGGTGCCTCGAGCCAAGCGTGAGGACGCCAGGAGACGACGCTTTGCCCCTGGCACCCAAACGCAGAAATCCTCCGTCAGCCTCGGCTTCCGATCTGGACTCCACTCCCACCTCCGCCAGCTCGGATCGGGCCAGTAATGAGACCAGTGCCGGTGTCGCTTTTAACTATGGCGACGACAGTCTTAATGGGACATGCATTGATGATAGGAGTGACGTCAACTTTCTCGACAGCTCGACTACCGCCGCCTTGAAGATGAAAGGCCTGATGACCTCATCGACAGGCGCTACGATGGAGCAGCTCGTGACTGGCCAGAAGGGCCAAGACTCGACGCAACTGCACGACAAAATGCAAAAACAAAAGGGTACGTCGTAGATAGGAAGACCAAGATGATGTAACCTCTTGTTTGGTTGCGGTCTCCTTTAGCTTGATGGTGTTGGTTTGACTTCGTTTTCCAACCTTGTGGAACGTACCTAGTCCTGCGCCATGACTCATTATTCATGATAATTTCCAGCATCAGACCGTTGACTTGGTACATTCCCAGACGCTTCGTCGGCATCGGCAGTGAGGCGCCAACCTTAGCACAGAGTTACAACTTATCATTTGTCGCTTGTCACTTTGAAGCGTCTGGGAATATGCCAAATCAACGCTCCGATGCTGGAAATCATCGTGAGTAATATGGCAGAGTACGCGGGACTGTACACGTCCCACAACGCCTCCCCGCTGCTCCGACCAAGTTGCGAAAACGAGGTCAATCGACACTAAAAGCGTTCTTCGCCATATTCACTTCTCTCCATCCTAACTTTCAGACTGGATTTGCTACTGATGCCCACTGGCCCGCTCGCTTGATCATTGCATACTCCTTTTCGTGTGACCTTTGTCTGCACAATTGAGACTAATCGCACTCGTGTACCCCCGGGTCGGTACGGCTAATCTGGCCCTGACAACCCAGGAGAGCCCTTATTGGATTTTTGCCTCAGAGGCAGATGCTACCCCTCGCCCGCCATTTCGACGCGAATACTCGGCCTTATGTGTGGCTTACAGGTTTAAGCTTGCCAATTACTCCGGCAGGCTCAGATCAGAGCGTGAAGGGCCAAGTTCCGAGAAACTGAGGTCCGGGCTTCGTACCATCAGCACAGGTGTTCCCCGAAACCTCGGCTTTATGACCAACTAGCTTCTGTATTTGGGATATGTGAATTTGTGACGCCAATACACGTGCTAGACCTCATTTACCCGAGACGACCTTGTCTCCGCGATCTCGCCACAACAATAACCTATCCTAATGACCCTAGCAACACCGATTGGCGACGCACTGAGACTTGGCCCACAGTGGCTATAGGAGCCAATAAAACGTCTTAGCCTCGAAGTTGTCCCACTTTCGAGACAAGTGCCATACCGATTGTTATACCGAGGGTGGCGTACTATTACTCTGCAACTAGTCCACACCTGAATTTCGGTATACATCCCATTCTATATGACCATTTTATCTACCTGTTTCTCCCAGTAACTCCTTTTGTTCCAATAACTTCCACGAGTGTCACTTTAAGTGGATTGTGAAAGGTAATCACCCTCGCCCTC